GAGTGTGGTGTGTGTGTGTGAGTGTGTGTCGCTGCAGGTTTGTGTGTGTTTGAGTATGTTGATGTGTGTGTGTGTGTGTGTGTGTGTGTGTGTGTGAGAGTGTGTGTCGCTGCAGGTTTGTGTGTGTTTGAGTATGTTGATGTGTGTGTGTGTGTGTGTGTGTGTGTGTGTGTGAGAGTGTGTGTCGCTGCAGGTTTGTGTGTGTTTCAGTATTTTGATGTGTGTGTGTGTGGTTCAGGCGGGTCGTCCGCGGCGGTGAAGGTGGCCTCCACTCGTCTGCCGTCTCCCAAGGCTTTGGTCAGCTCTCCGTCTCAGATCCTGCAGATTCCCAGAGCGCAGCAGCAGACGGCGGTTCAGTCTGCGTCTCCTAAAGGCCTCCAGGCCTCGTCTCCTCAGAGCGCCGCCGCCGGAGCCAAGCCCACCATTCAGATCAAACAGGAGTCTGGTGAGCACGTGTGACGGCACATAAAACACAGGGCTGCACGACTAATCGAAATTAACAACAAAGGCTGCAATTTAATGAAATGAATATCTGCGCTGCCCGTTTCTGAGTGAAGCGCAACACTGTGTTCATTTACACGTGAGCAGCTCATGATCTGGTGTTTTCAGCATCACACAGTAAATGATCCACATGAACTGCATCTGCTCTGAGTCTGAGACGCTTTAACATGCATTTGAGAAGGAAACATCTCCAGACATCTTCACAAACTTATCAACTAAAGAGAAGCTTTAAGGGTCCCTGCAGTTTTCTGTCAAAATAAAAGCTTGGTGTAAATATCATATTTATTATTTGAATTTTTAAAAGATGTTAATATTAGTGATGTAATTTGACAGTTGGATTGTAAAATTATTGTATTATTTTTCTTGAGTACTCTTTATATTTTAAAGTAAAATATTACAATAGTAGTATTTTGTGTTGTTTAATATTTTTATTTAATAATAATAATGATAACTAGATAAAAAAGTTCGTTAAGACAAACTTTAGGTTGGCTTGAGAAAGCCGGACCAGAAAGTTTAAAGCAGTTGTAAAAGTGTGAAGTTTGAAAATGAATGTTGATAACATGTTTCTAGCATGATTAGCATGTTACTAGCATGTTTCTAGCATCATTAGCATGTTGCTAGCATGTTTTAACAGGATTTGCATGTTACTAGCGTTTTTCTAATATGATTAGCATGTTGCTAACATGTCTTTGGCATGATTAGCAAGTTACTAGTATGTTTGTAGCATAGTTAGCCAGTTATTTTCTAATATGATTAGCATGTTGCTAACATGTCTTTGACATGATTAGCAAGTTACTAGTATGTTTGTAGCATAGTTAGCCAGTTACTAGCATGTTGCTAGCATGTTTCCAACATGATTAACATGTTACTAGCATGTTGTTAACATGATTAGCAAAATACTGCCATGTTTCTCGCATGATTAGCAAGTTACTTGCATGTTGCTAGCATGATTAGCAAGTGACTACCATGTCGCTAGCGTGATAGTTACTAGCATGTCGCTAGCGTGATTAGCAAGTTACTAGCATGTCGCTAGCATCATTAGCAAGTTACTTGCATGTTTCTAGCATCATTAGCATGTTGCTAGCATGTTTTAACATTATTTGCATGTTACTAGCGTGTAATATGATTAGCATGTTGATAACATGTCTTTAGCATGATTAGCAAGTTACTAGTATGTTTATAGCATAGTTATCAAGTTACTAGCATGTTGCTAGCATGTTTCCAATGTTGCTAGCATGTTTTAACATGATTTGCATGTTACTAACATGTCTTTAGCATGATTAACAAGTTACTAGCATGGTTACCAAGTTACTAGCATGTTGCTAGCATGTTTCTAACATGATTAACATGTTACTAGCATGTTATTAACATGATTAGCAAAATACTACCATGTTTCTAGCATGATTAGCAAGTGACTACCATGTTGCTAGCGTGATTAGCAAGTTACTAGTATGTTTCTAGCATGATTAGCAAGTGACTGCCATGTTGCTAGCGTGATTAGCAAGTTACTAGCATGTCCTTAGCATGTTATAAAATTCATTCATTTAATTGCTTTTTAATTGCATTCATAATTTCTATCAGAAAAATTGCAATTATATTTTTACCCAAATCGTGCAGCCCTACTAAAATGGTTTAATAAACAGGTCAACTCAGTGTTATTTTAGTATCATTGATTTAGTATCATTTTTACATTGATAGTTTTTGTTAATATGTACAATAAGATTTTATTTTAATATTTTCTGTTTTCATTTTAGTTTTAGCAATTTTGTTGTGTGTTTTTGTCTTTTTTTGTTTTCTTTTTTTTTTTAATATGCCTATAGTTTTTTATTAAGTTTTAGTTATTTTAGAACTTAATCTAAAGGAAAATGAGAAATGTTGCCTTGACAATCCGTGTATCATTCGATCATTCGTTTTTTGATTTAATATTGAAAGTAGAAAAATTAGAAAACGGCTCCTTTTTCGTTTTTTCGTTTTTTTCCAAAAAACGAAAAATGAGAATTCAGCTTAAATTTTCGTTTTTCATTCATGGGTGGAAAAATGAATAAACAGCTTGAATATTCGATTTCTACATGTGGGCGGGAATTAAACGCCCCTTTCTGCTGATTGGTCAGCCGAAGATCAAACGTGCCTTCTTCAGTTCTTCCGCAGAATCATGCAGCAGAATAATAGTCCTCCACTGCTGCAGTTTTATGGATTCTTA